TGGACACATATTGTGGGCAGGTGTTTGATGCAAATTAAAATCGGTCATTCTTTCAGTTTGAGCCCACAAGTCTCTCCAAATTTTGGAAGAATGAGAAGCTTGAACTAGTCAAGAGACCATGCATGAATAAGATATGAGACAGGATATCCGGACGATAGAGAAACTGAATACTCAATCTAAGGAGGGAGAAAATACTTCCACTTTTGAGGAAACCAGAATCTATTGACGTGGATCTAGATCATCTCTTTCATGAGGTTTGGCAACACTTATGAGAATCTACTAAAAGTTGCTTTTAAGTTGGTAAGTATTCTTAATCAGTGTACTTAGGTTGTAGGGATGGATGTGGGTATAGATTGTTAACTGAATGAACTGTTTAATAAGATACCGATTAAGGTAGGTAACAGAAATGTGGCAGTATTATGGAATCCTGATTCTTTAAAATGAGAAAACGTCCGTTCAATGTAAGTAATTAATTTTTAAAAATCCGCTTAAAGTGCTGGCTTCACCAGGTGAAAAGAAAGCATTATGACGCATCGAAGGCTAAATTCGAAAAAATGCTTCCCTCTAGGTATTACTACATTACAAAATCTCTGATAATCTTGCGATTTTTTACGGAGAGACTAATATTTTGAAATTTTCTGTGACTCTCTTTGAACGAATGAGAAAAATTCGCGTAAAATTCAAGATGGGTGATTTCCTTGACAACACTTTGTGAAAAAAAAATATGAGTGGGGATTTGCAACATCGCAATCAAGGGTGTGCATTTTTCAACTGGAGCCATCGATATTCTTTTCGAAAATTTTTGACTTCCTTGTTTTAAAAATTAGAGATAGGCGTAGAAAACGTGACGAATTAGAAGATTTGATTTATTACAATATTTTGATACTTATTTCATAAATGCTTTCGGCAGAATACATTAAATAAATTAATGGAATCTGTGAGTTGATTCGCTTATTTCATCCGATAAGTCGACTTTGCTTCGAAAATGTTGTCACTGTCGCGCCCTCAATGTGAGCAGCGACTTATCTGAAAGCTAATAATTTTTGGAGGTATTCCTGTGATAAAATGTTATCGGCCATTCATCAAAAACCCTGCTCGTTTAGATAGAGGTCAGATGAGCAAAGTTGCATAAAAGTTTCAAACTGACGAGGTCTCTCTAGCCCAACGTTGAAGAATTTTTTCCCCTTGTATATGACTGAGCCTCTACAATTCTAAGCGGTTTCCGTTAGATTTAACGCTGCAATATTATAATTTTAATGGATCTGATGAAATGAAGATGAGTCGGCCGCGGGGCAAATTTTCTCCAATTGTTTCGAAAGCGGAACTAGACATCAATTTAATTGACGGAAAATTACCGATAGGCATAGCTGCCGACCCAACTGGAGAGGATTTTAAACGCTTATAACTCCGTTGATACACAACTTTGAAGTACTAAAAGTGATTCCATTGGTTTTATCGTTAAATTTTCTTCAAAAAGAACCCCTTAAAGTTTAGAATGTAACGAAATGAACATCAAAATTTGTAGTTTTACACTGAAAAAAAAATTCTCGGCGTTTTTACCAAGGTCCGTTGGTACCTTTACCATCTCACTGTTTTCCCGATTATTGGTAATTTTACCAAGACAGACTGGTAAGCTTATCTAAAAACCGGTATTTTTACTGTTTTTTTCAGGTAAGAATACCACTTTTGTTGGTAATCAATTCCCGGTAACTTTGCCATTTTATCTCGGTAATTCTATAATTCTGCCACAGTCGATAAAAAATATTGGCGTTTTTTCCAAGGTCCAGTAAAATTACCGAGAAAGTTAAATAATTTTACCGAGATTTCTCGGTAAAATTACCAATTCCATAAATGGCAATTTTACCAAGAAAAAACTGGGATTAAATAGAACCCTGAATTCTTGGTAATTTTAACCTTTTCTTAGTAAATACACTGAGATTTTTTTTTTCAGTGTAGTCAACAATTGCGTGTCCGACCTCTCTAATTAACTCGATCTACCGTGCGGCAGTACGACTCTCTGTGATGACATACAGTGCAAGTATATTCCTACAGCATTTTCGCGACGAAGATGGCGTCAAAGGCGCTTGCAATAGCGCCAGACAAATGCTGCGCTCGCGGAGACTAAACAAAAGCCGGCTGAATCGAGAATAAAACCTGAATGAGTTCCCCTCGATCGTAAATTAACTTATCTCCAGGCCTGAAGGCAGATACCGCGTTTAAATGCCTTATCAGAGACACAGCAGCATGGAAACGGTGATAAGGCCCCAGTCTTGACAAATCATTTACGAACCAGCAGGACTCACATCACAGGCCGAGCACATGCCTCTCGTGAAATTGCTCAGATTTTATGGAATAATTCACTGCGATGCATTCTGGTTTATTGCATTTTCCAGGGGAATGCATTGACTTGCGTAATAAGAAAGAAAAATGTGAGCGTGCATGACAATCCTAGCATAAGTGACCGTGGGGAGGGGGATTGAAATGTAGAAAAACAATATTGAAAAAATAAACTAAAAAAAACTGTGGGCATTCAGAGGAAACTTTTTTTTTGGTATTTGTTAATTTAAGATGAGTTTACGAGAGGTATTCGAGGGAAAATGTTTGCACTACTACTTGAAGGGTCTAGTGTAGTTTGTAAGCGCTAGATTTTTTTTTTTTAAAAAAAGAGGAAAGAAATAAAGATGTTTGAAAACTTGTTTACAGATTACTTATGCCTACACAAAATTTTCAAAGACTTGTAGACATAAATTTTTGTTAAAAGAATACCGAAAAAGGGTTTGCCTTTCTGAAAATTTACAGTTTTATAAGGTTTTGGACACGTGATTTTCCCCATACAGTTATTACCACAATGGGAGATCGTCAAAAACCGACAGAGCAAAATTTAAGGAAAAATAAATAAAAGATGTTGCTATCAATACGTTAGTACCTACGGCCAAAAGCTCTGGAAAAAAGAAATAGCACAAAGCCACTGTAAAAAGGGCTCAGGACTTGAAAAAACTTATCAGGTGCACGATGCAAATTCGGCGATTTTCCATCGTGATGAAATCTCCATTATGCCGAGTGAAATTCGTATCAGGCGAGATCCAGATGTGATGGAAAGAAAATACCGCGCGCAAAAACCTTATCTTAAAACTTCTTTTCAGGCCCAGGAAGCACTTTTCGACGAAAAACTCGTGATATTTTGTCAGTAAATAGCGATTTTCAGTGCGATTTTTCGGCGATGAAATTGCTAAGATCATCAAAATCTCCCTGTAAAATTGCGTTCAATAAAATAAAAAATGTCATGTCAATTTGTCACGATGTTCGATAATAATGCGATATATCGCAGTCGATAAATTCGCGAATTTATTGCAACTTTATGCCATGAAATTGCAATTTTTTGGCAATAATATTGCAATAAATCGACGTTGATAAACTTGTGATACATTCTTCGATGGAATTTGTCGCAATTTTTTAGCAAAAATATTGCAATAAATCGACGTTGATAAACTTCTGATACATTCTTCGATGAAATCCTGACTTATCGAAATTTGTCGCAAATTTTGAGCGATATTATTGCAATACATCAACGTTGATAAAATTGTGATACAATCTCCGATGAAATTCCAACTAATCGCAATGACTGCTCACAGAATGATATCGTCACTGCTATTTGGGGTCTGTCGAAAAAACCGCCACGACTATCTACCAGACATAAAACTCTACTCTTTAATTTTTCGACCGTTCTTGCACTTAACAAACGTGCGAGTGGTGGCTCTAGGAGAGCTGCGAGCTTTGTAAGCAAACAGTTGCCAACCAAATCGAGCGAGACAGCTTCCGAACGAAGCAACAGTTGACTTTCCCACTCGTTTCCCTCTCCAGCACGGACCGCGCGCGTTAGCACAGCGGGAGCTAACCTAAATTATTTCACGAGCACCTGCATCACGCGTAGAGGCGTTCAAGCTGAACCTATTTATAAACGTTTAACTTGCAGACGATTCATCAACTCTTCACTGGCGATTCTTTGTACGTCTGTCTGAAAGTTTTCGGCAGAACCAGAAAAGAGTGCGAAATTTAAACAGGAACTTCTGCACTCAAAGCTTATCGATGACACGAAATAAAAATTATGAAAATATACACTCGTAAGCGAATCGGAGCACGAAATAAAAAACATTGCAAATTTTTAAGGCTTATCTTATTTCATTCCTAACTTAATTTTGTGATGATATTCAAACGTATTACGTCAAAATTTCGATTTACCCTATCGTAGCCGTCAGAACCATGACAGGAATAGCCGAATTCACACTCTTGTCTAGTGATTTTCTGGCAGCAAGTACCCACTGCGTTAACAGAAAATATTTAGGCTAAATTAAAGGGATTTTACCTCCCTTTGCGATAAGCTCGACGCTTAGTGCTGAAATACTCTTCAGCCCAGTCATCATCTAATTTTGACACTTTAGCACAATGAGACATCAAGTGGATGAAAGAACGAACTAAAATGTTAGGAACACTGCGGGAACTGAATTACAGTCCCGGACTAGAAAAGTAGGTACGTACGAGTCATTCAAAAACTGAGTAAGTCAGTGTCACGCAGGGTCGATTAAATTTTGCATCAACTTTGCATTAATCACGAATCCATCTCGACTCAAAAATGATCCGGACTAAGATACTTCAGATGAAGATAAAGCAATGAATCACATTTCAGCCCGAAATAACAGTAACTTTCATCCAATTGGACTGAGTTAAGCAGAAAGGAACCAACTCACATTTTGGGAAAAATTGAGATATGAGTGGTTTTGAACTCAACCACTGCTCTACTATCTAAGTATCGACAAAAATTCAAAGTTTTTGTTGGAGCAAATTTTGCAGAAATTGGACTTAAAGTTTATCTTTTACATTGAGTCTTATGCAGGAGCCGAACTTTAAACCTCTTTTTCTCGGTTCGATCCCGATGTGGCTTGGTTCCTTTCTGTTTAACTCCGTCCAATTGATGTCTTGGTGGAAATGAAGTAGAAACTCACTGTATGGGCTGGAAGTGGGAAGCGAGGCTTCCGATTTGACGGACGCTGCTTTCTGGTGCGACGGCGGCGGGAGGGACCCGACGGGTGACGTCGGCGGGGTATCCCTGGGGGGCTCCACGGGGCCGGGCCCCGGCGGACCCTGCGGCAGGGTCGTGACCTCCGGGGGCTTGTAGATGATCGGCATCTGTGGGATCGGCTCCGGGTGCTTGGGCATCTTCGGGTCCGGGTGCGCCTGCATGGCCAGATCCTGCAAGAAGTAGCGGCGCTTCTTGATCGTCTTGGCCATGTGCACCTGGCGCTCCTTCGTGGCCAGACACAACCGACACGGGCACAGAGTGTACGGGCAGTAGCGTTTGTGTCCACGCACGAGTTTCTTCAGGCCGTGGTTCCGGCACCGCACGCAGCACCTCGGGGCGCGGGAATTGACCCTCGACTTGTTCTGGAATCCCGACGTGACGTCGGAGGCCATGGCGAAGGGAGCCACTGCACTGGACACGGTCACTGTCACTGAGTTAATTCACACCGAAACGAGAGTTGATTCACACTGAGACGACACTGCCGCGGAGTCGGGAGGTCGGACACGAGCGTCCAGGAGCGGGCGGACTGCGAACGCACGAGGCACAGGCGACACTGAGCTGCCGGCGCGACGCTGCAATTGCAACTGCACCAGCGCCCCACGCGGTCCGGACACGTAACACTCGCCCTTGAATTGCACTCGCGCCGCTCGCCGAGTCGCGATTCTTCCCGGCTGTCTCTCTCGCCCGACCCGTCCCATAAACGGGCCCCCCNCCGCCGCTCCCGCTCCCCCCCCTCCCCCCTACTCTATGACTGCCGAGACAGGGTGCCCTGTAAATCAACGTACCGCCACTCGCTTGAATTCCACGATCGGGACTTCATTCTTGGGCAGTGTTTGAAACTCACAGGCGCAATAGTCCAAGAGCCAGCACCGAATTATCTAACCGGAGAGTATAAGAAATTTCACATACATTCTTAGATCGGGACACTCGAGTGTAGCAAGGATCGGGCAGTCTGGCTGGTCATAGCCGCTGGGTTCAAAATTTGAGACCCATCAAATTTCCGAAAAATTGCGTAAAATTTAACCGGAAAGTATTATAGTTGATTTTAGTCTCATATTGTAGGGGTGACTTCCCTGATTAGATATCACCTTGCCAGACCGTCGAACTCCGCTGGGAAAAGGTTGCCAGACCGCCCGAAAGTTCCGAAAAATTGCGCAAATTTTAACCGGAAAGTATTATAGTTGATTTTAGTCTCATTTTGTAGGGGTGACTTCCCTGAGTAGATATTACCTTGCCAGACCGTCGAACTCCGCTGGGAAAGGGTTGCCAGACCGCCCGAAAGTAGCTAAAATCGACCTTTTCTGCCTCATTTGAATGCACAATAGTCCATAGCCAACCTATCCCAATATAGGGGTTTACCTTCCACATTCCGGAAAAAAATCTCTAGCATATGTATCCTATGTGTTTTTTAGCGCTAAGTTCGAATCTGAACTTTGCTACCTTCGATTTTTGCCGCTAAAGCCGCCATCTTGAAAAGACGTTGCCAAATCTCATTTTTGTCCAAGAATCGGTAATAACTCGTTCCCTGTGCGTCGGACGACAAATAAAGTTCTGCAAAGCGAAAGTACGTTAAATTTTGATTTTGAAACATGCATCAAAGTTTTGATACAATGCATGTACCGTCCACCAGAGCGCGCTGAAAACCGCGGAAATTTGAAAAAATTGTCATTTTTGTCGTTTTTCCTGAACACTATTTTTTCTGGGCGATTTTTCGGCGAAAATGATCGTGGAAAAGTGAAGTCAGCGAAAAATGCTACAAGAAAGACTCTCAATTTTTGGACTAATGACTGTTTTTACAGAAGTTAGGAGCGCTTGAAGTCGAAGACACCAACGGCCGAAATCGGCGTCAACGCTGGATCACGGTTCTGTCATATTATAAGGATTGTACTTAATATGGTTTCATGACGTATTATTTTAGCTTTGAGGCATTGAATCTCGCTGTGAACATTACAGTTAGAGGTTTCAATTCACCCAGTATGGCATCCCTTTCTAGATCCCTGCTCTGTCCCTATTCCCGCAGGTCTCGCAAAATTATGATGGGGCACTTTCTTTTCAGGGTCTAAATTTTTTCGATCCCGGGGGAAAAAGAGTTGAAGTCGCCTAACCATCATTTCAGCATCATTATTAGGAATGTGAATTGTTAGTCGAACCAATTTTAATATCTGAGGTTCCAAACTTTGCGAACAGGGTCACAGGAGCGAGGAGCCTGAACATTGAAGTTCCTGCCAACTTTAATTTTCAGGTCCCTGTGACCCTGTTCGCGAAGTCCGGAACAGGGTTATCGTCAGGTTTTCGAATATTTCAGGCGTCAATGCTTTTTACCTCTTTTTCTTGGGAGGAATCCTCCCTCAAGGCACTTTCACAGAAATCACAGCAACATAAATACGAAGATAATATTCAGTAAAATACTCGGAGCGATTTTGTGTCTCACGACACCATTACCAATCGCTAAAAAGTACAAAAAGAAAAAAAAATAAAATCAAAAGAAACCAGCATGGCATCACATGGTGATGGTCAACATACTGAGACAAGTACCATCACCATGTAACGCCATGCTGGTTTCTTTTGATTTTAATTTCTTTTTTTTATTTTCGTACTTTTTGGCGGTTGATGATGGTGTCATGAGACACCGAAACGTCCCGTGCATTTTTATGTATATTATAGCCTTATTTCCGCCGTGTCCTTTGTTTTCTTTATACTATTTCTGTTTTGGGCTGCCTGTGTACTTATGTCTCTGTTTCATAAATACAAATATGTGCACCGAGAAAGGCCGTTTTCTTATACCCAGCGGTCAACTGTCACATAATCTGTTTGGCAGCAGCATTTGAGATTCGCAGGAAAATATTTTTATTAGCTCCTCCGGTTTAGGCTTCTTCCCTACTAAGTATCGGCGACAAGTAATTCTTTGTTGGCACGCAGACATATTTAATCTAAACTTGCGGGTTCGTCCTAAAAGAGTGTTTTTGGGCTTCCTCCGTAGAGCAAGGCAACGAGTCAAATTTTGGATTGCCGTTTTTACCAGGCTTCATACCATCATTATTCAGCGAAGTTTCTTCGGAGTTTTTATAACCTTACAGAGCAAAAGCTGCACACGTGTACACTTAAGGGTGCACAGTTTTGTGCGGAAATGTATGGAAAAATCCATGCAGGAGGATTTCTCATTCAAAGAGGAAGTAGCAGAATTCGACGATTCAGAAGCCGTACAAATTGATTTTAAAGACGTCGATGATAACCCTGTTTCGGGGACATACTCCTCCCTACCAACTCCAATATTAAAAATATCTGCGTCCCTGCCAGCTTTGGAACCCGAAGCTCAAGCTTGGAGAGCCCAAGCCAAAATGCCGAGATTTTAATCATTTCATTCAGCTTCCAACATGCTGAGAAGAGTGCCAGGTTCAATTACTCTGATAACTTCAAGCGTGCGCAGCTGACCATGTGTTGAATTTTTTTGTAAAGATCGGATATGCTACTCCCATGAAGGAAATATTTCCAGATTTGATTTGACTAAAACTTAACATTCTTAATAATAATGCTGAAATGATGGTTAGGCGACTTCAACTCTTTTTCCCCCGGGATCGAAAAAATTTAGACCCTGAAAAGAAAGTGCCCCATCATAATTTTGCGAGACCTGCGGGAATAGGGACAGAGCAGGGATCTAGAAAGGGATGCCATACTGGGTGAATTGAAACCTCTAACTGTAATGTTCACAGCGAGATTCAATGCCTCAAAGCTAAAATAATACGTCATGAAACCATATTAAGTACAATCCTTATAATATGACAGAACCGTGATCCAGCGTTGACGCCGATTTCGGCCGTTGGTGTCTTCGACTTCAAGCGCTCCTAACTTCTGTAAAAACAGTCATTAGTCCAAAAATTGAGAGTCTTTCTTGTAGCATTTTTCGCTGACTTCACTTTTCCACGATCATTTTCGCCGAAAAATCGCCCAGAAAAAATAGTGTTCAGGAAAAACGACAAAAATGACAATTTTTTCAAATTTCCGCGGTTTTCAGCGCGCTCTGGTGGACGGTACATGCATTGTATCAAAACTTTGATGCATGTTTCAAAATCAAAATTTAACGTACTTTCGCTTTGCAGAACTTTATTTGTCGTCCGACGCACAGGGAACGAGTTATTACCGATTCTTGGACAAAAATGAGATTTGGCAACGTCTTTTCAAGATGGCGGCTTTAGCGGCAAAAATCGAAGGTAGCAAAGTTCAGATTCGAACTTAGCGCTAAAAAACACATAGGATACATATGCTAGAGATTTTTTTCCGGAATGTGGAAGGTAAACCCCTATATTGGGATAGGTTGGCTATGGACTATTGTGCATTCAAATGAGGCAGAAAAGGTCGATTTTAGCTACTTTCGGGCGGTCTGGCAACCCTTTCCCAGCGGAGTTCGACGGTCTGGCAAGGTAATATCTACTCAGGGAAGTCACCCCTACAAAATGAGACTAAAATCAACTATAATACTTTCCGGTTAAAATTTGCGCAATTTTTCGGAACTTTCGGGCGGTCTGGCAACCTTTTCCCAGCGGAGTTCGACGGTCTGGCAAGGTGATATCTAATCAGGGAAGTCACCCCTACAATATGAGACTAAAATCAACTATAATACTTTCCGGTTAAATTTTACGCAATTTTTCGGAAATTTGATGGGTCTCAAATTTTGAACCCAGCGGCTATGACCAGCCAGACTGCCCGATCCTTGCTACACTCGAGTGTCCCGATCTAAGAATGTATGTGAAATTTCTTATACTCTCCGGTTAGATAATTCGGTGCTGGCTCTCGGTCTACAAACGCGCCAAATGCGCCTAAAAAATCGGCCATGGCGCCTAAATAATGCTGCCGTGCAGAAGGAATAACGCCGTATGAACATTCGAGAGTTGCCAAATTTTACCGGATATAAGATGTATTTTTGAGGAAAATTATGCATATTTCTCCGTAAAAATTTCGGATGTGTTAGATCAAGCAGTGAGCAAAATTATCTGAAAAATTCGAAAACAAATATTCAATATTTTTCCAGTAAATTCGGTTTTTAGTAAAGTAAATTTGGCATCGCCTGAAGGTTCATACGGCGTTCTTCCTTAGTACGGCAGAATGGCAGATCCAGCAACTCGTGAGGAACGCTACCTTTTGAAGACGGAGACAAAAGACGGGGCAAGTGAGACGCCCTCTCAGAGGTCAAGATCTTAAGAAGCTCTGAAAATTACCCCCTTGACCGTGATGAGGAAAGTGAATCGCAAAATAGTGCACCCCTGTGTTCGGTCAAATTCGGTCCTCAGATGATCAAGGGGTGCATGTTTGCAGGCCCGCCACAAGGGGGGGGGGATACTGGGTCCTTGGTACCGGGGCCCGGGCCCTGGAGGGGCCCGTGACGCAGGTGACAAACCACTACGAATTCATGTGTAACCCTTGTCTCGTAGGGAAAAGTGAAGAAATTACCCTAAAAATTCCGCAAAAGGTGAATAAAGTTTCTAAAACACGCTAGGGCACTATAAAATTTTTCTTACTTTTTTAGAGATTTTCAAGATTTTGAGTATATGTAGAATGATATTTTTAGTAACTGCGAGTTTCATTTTCTTCCGTTGTCGGATGCTAAGAGGCTCCT